AACCTGTAGTCAATTCATGTTCCAGGGCCACTTGGTTTAGCCGTGCATTATCAGCCAATATACCATGGATTGCATATGCAAATTTTGTGTTTGGACCAATCAAATCAATGGATTAACACCATCAATATACTGGTATAATATAATTGAAATTAACTAACCGCTACACACAGATTGTGTTAGTATTTGACACGGCTCGTGTTGTATCGTGACCTTGTACAATGACCCCAATCGATCGCGCGCAACTCACACTAACAATAACAAAAGCCTGTATCCTGACAATGGTATTCGCGATGACATGATCTGTACCAGTCAGAGGAACTGTGTCTGTACTATAACATTCGTCATAGCAGTTACTCGAAACCGCTTTCGCACCCTGGTTTTGCATTTAGTTTAGGCATGGTTTAGGAGCTGCTGGACTATGCACTAACCTATTAGACTCACCTTGTTTCGTTCAACAGATACATAACCCCACGGATCTTCTTGTAACGTTCCTTTAAATAAGTCTATATTATTTGAGACGTTGCCATGGTGCGGAGTATCTGCTTCTTGTACAATAAAATCAATGAGAGGGGCCCCAATGGTGTGATTGCGACGCACTTTCCCGGTTATCGCACCACTGACACCCGTCGACAGACCGCTTGCGACGATCGACGTGCTGCCGTATATATGCTGGCCGTCATTACTGCCCATAAACACATACAGATAAATAGCGAAGGTTATCGCTACTTGGCACAACACGAATCCGGCACAAAACACCCTTACTGTAGCCATCTTACATGATATGTTGAAGAGCATCGTCTGCCAAATCTGACGAGCATAGAACGATCACAGAAGTCCGTGTGCCTGTAAACAGTTATGAGCCAAGCCGACGTTAATTTACAAATACGAATCACTCCGCCAGTATACACTACCATGGACATAAAGTAATCCATTGTTACATTCATAACGCCACTAATAAGAGCAAACCGGTTTCCTGAAGGGCAGAAATGGCATATATTTTGCAAAGGATTATGGGATATGAAAATGAACCATAGAGGGCGTTGGGGGGATTTTTCCACTCATTCTTTCATCATTTCTTATGTTTTATTATTTTAAACATGCATCTATCTTGTCTACTAAAAAGTTATGGTTGATTTTAAATCAGTTTTAGAAGACATTTCAGGTGTGTGACAGTGTCCAGAATTAAAACAATGAGGGACTTGAAATGAAAAACACATTCAAGTTTTAGAAATGTACAGTCCAAAAAAGTAAAACGCAACGCACGTTTGACATTTTATGTACGTGGGACATTTTTGAAAATAGTAACATGTACGAACTATTCGTTTTTTTAAAAATATATCGTTCAATGAATTCTAGTGTTTCATTGATTGAACATAACAATTATTCAAAAATGTGTATTAGTCATATATCTTATTGATGATTTTATTATGGTGTATCATTCTATTGACTTTAGATTTGATTTGCTTTTATTTTGTTATGGAAACATTGGTTAGTGGCGAGTCATGTTGCCGACTTAGTTGACGCCCATGGAAAGTCGGTGTGTCTACGGCTTTTCTGTGTTTATTCGCCACATATCCATTGTTAAGATCGCTGCGATACACATGCATCATAGGATAGCGAATTTAATTTCTGTTGATTCATGAGTATTTTACCTCCATGGTTAATTGAAGCACAGTCCCTCAAGAGTGACTGTGATTGAAGCCACGGTTACTTTTTTTTAGTAACCGTGTTGAAGCTAAGAATGTAAAGCACGTGAATGTAAAGCTGACATCTGGTTTTACCCCGGATGTTTGCTTTCTTCATGGTGTACGTCTTGCCAGCACCACCTCGGGCGCCGCTGTGGCCTGCGTGCGATGGTCTTTGCTAGTTCGGGGCGTCGTAAATGGACGAAAAGAAAGGTCTTCTGTCCCGGTGTAGTGTCGTTATCGGTGGCTGGGTTTATTTGGATGTACGTGCTTCGTGGAGTTGGACACGAACCACTAGCCTACATTACCCACGCCACAACTATACTACCCGTGAGACATGAAGACATCGAGAAAGTGGCAGAGTTGAGGCCGGCGACGAAAAGACGTAATCATGTCACAGGCACTGGCCACGTTAACGTTGTCTCAAAACAATCAGTTATTCAATCAAACGAGACATTGACACTCACGTTGCTAAAAGAAGATCCCTGGAGCTATATCTCCGTTCAGCGGAACAAGGTAAAGGCTGCATATTTTTGTTAAAGGGGCACCTTCCAGTTAAGCCTAATCTCACAACAAATTTACTTTCTGGATTAAAATGACAATGGATAACAAAAGATAGACCAACATTGTAAACAACATAAACAATAGTGCCCCGTGATTCTTTGGTTCAATCCATGGGATTGAGCGGTTCCCCTTTAATATTGTTGTCCGAGCGCATGGGGTGTAACTGGGCGTGTATCCGGGAGACGTAATTTTTGAAATGATCATATACTAGTAACTAATAGAACGCATACTACACTACACATGACTGGTTTATTTCTATATCATTTATATTGCAAATTCGAGCCGATGTTGCATGTATGCTCAGACCATTTATCAGTGGTTTGAGATGTATAGATCAAAATATCTATTGTTTTGCTAATAATACGACATCATGTTGACATAGCTAACTCTAATTCATTGGTTAAAAAAAACGTGTTTTATTACTGGTTTCGCTTCTGTCATCTGTTTGTTTTTCGACCTGAAAGGTATTTTGTTAATTTAGAACCAGACCATGCAGTGTGCAACCACATAGCTCCGTGAGCAACATTCCAATATAGCATCTTGAACCCAATTCCCCTACACCACGGTGACCAGGTGCAGTAACGTTTTTAGCTATGAAAGAAATACTACAGTGCAGCTGTTAACCGCGTTAGCCACACCACGATTTTTTTCTTGCATCACGTACGAGACCTCGGTTATGTTGAGATTTTCAGGTTTAGTTCTCAGCAAATTTACTGGGCTAACATTTTTCTGACATAACGCCACTTTCCAAATTGTCCGAAAACTATTGGTCAATGAACCAAAATAATGTCTAAAAGGCTTTCTATTGTACCCCATCCCTATTCTAACATCCATGTCATTCTTAGTTCAACTTACTGTATATGCCCTTCTAAGGGTCATCAATGAAGTACCACGAGATACAATTAATTTGGAATGGAGGGTACGGGCATTCTAGTAAGGTAAACACAACACTACTTCACCATTATTACACAATATGTCTATGACATAGAAATTGGAAATAAAAACTTCTTTAAGGCCCCCTTCCCCCCGACCTGAACCATAACCCTAACAATCCAACGGCAATGTGATTCAATATGCCCCTCCAAATAATTATAAGTGACCTAAATAAGGGGTATATACAATTGAAACGGGATCTGGGGGGCAAGGTTAGGATTAGAGTTATGTAAATGAACAATGTATTTTACACGCGTTGTATACGTCGCTATGAGTCCCATATCAAACAGGAAGCGGCACGACGACTGCCGCCCTTTAAATAGCTAGCTACATGCCATTTAGCGAATTTGACTCAGTACTTAAATATTTAACTAAATGAACATCTCATCGTGAGAAAATATTTTGATTTAAATTAGCGACATCTTGATTTAGCGAATTGTGGTTTAGTTTAATTAGCTAAAATAACAAAGTGGCGTGTTGTTAGTGTTGACTGAAAATTAGACAGTTTACAAATTTAACGAACTATAATAACTCTTTTTACCTTCCATGGTGCATCGAACCCAATGTTGACTCACTAAATATTTGATTAGCTGAACTGTGCAGCAATAGGTGAAAAACCGTTGCGGCGGCACTTGCATACTTCTCAACATTCCATAATTTTATTTCAGACGCTCCAATTCCATTGCGACGCATGCGCAATCGTAAGTCCATCTGGTCAACTATTGGGCAAGGCAGCCGGGAAGGAAATCGACTCGTTCCCCTGTGTGATAAGAATGAATGATCACCCAATAGGCGACTTCGCAAAGGATGTCGGTAAAAAAACTACGATCAGAATCATTTCGTACGTAACAACGAGGTTGCAGTTGATACGATTTAAATATGGCGGACTTCTCAAAGGCCACACAAAGCCGAAGATGGTCTTAATTTGGGGACCGTATATAACGAGGGTCTCAAGAATCGCCAAAGAACTACAAGACTCGAATCGCGGAGTACAGTTTTATATTGTAAATGCAAGTCAATATCACTTCGCGGAGCAAGTCTTTAAGTCGGAAACTGGACACAACAGGTGAGAGCAGTTTTACACCCGGCACTTATAGCAGCAATAGCTGTAACTATCCATCTTTTTCCTGTAGTGTGTGATTAGGATCGATTTGTAACGGACATCGCTGAAATGTGGACATTGAAAGCATAACATATACACTGTGTAACGACGGTGGTCGTCGCGCAACGCGTGTTCCGTTTCATATAAACAATGCATTTTACACGCGTTTTATACGTCGATATGAGTCCCATATAGAACAGAACGTGGCGCGACGACCACCACCCTTTAAATCAATTACATGCTGGATAAAAATGGCTGCTCGGTTGCGGCCAGGTCTCCAGAGAGCGCCGTCTATTGAAATCCGATTTTGTTGTCAAGCTAACCACCGGGATTACCGGTACCAGATGGCAACTTACCGGGGGCTGGACGAAATCGTGTCAAATATGCCGCCATCTTTGAGAGGCTGGGCCTCTCTCTGACGCTTTGATGTTTCACTTGCCATAATAGTGTGCGTCATAATTTTCATCACGTAACAGATTTTAACGATGGCGAATGGTCATCTCATCTCAATGTGGTTATATTTAAATCCAAAAATGTTCAAAATTACAGCTATTGTTGTTTTAATGAATTCAAATTTTTTGTATAGCACAGACCCATACGTAAATAAAATACTAGTAAATAAAAATAAAAGCGGTAGGGTCGTCACCTGCGCACGCGCGAGAATCGAGTCCCAAGCGATAACAACACACGCTAAAAACGCAAAAGCTCATGGGTAGACGCTTGTTTGTAAACAATGACACGCTATGGCCATCTGACGCATGCGTAGGTGACGACTCTCCCGCTTTAATAAATACGCGTTTCTTTGTAGATTTGAAACACACACGTGGTTATCGACAGGCTGGTACACCATGATATTTGCGCTGAAGGCGTGTGATAGCATAACAGTGTATGGTTTGACGGACCACGAATACTGCGCGTGAGTATAGATGTCGTTTATATTCATGTCTTGAACTTTGACCACTTTCACACACCGATAGTCCCAAGAGAAAAGTCGGGAACACCAGTTGAGCCGAAGCATATATACAAGACATAATTTGGTGCATCGAAAATAAAACTGTCAACAAGCTGCTCTCTGATTGGTCGATGGTAACATGCATTAATTTAAATAAATAAATAAATAAATAAAAGTTTTTTCGTATTGGTTGGATGAAATAACTAACTCTGCAAATTTGAATTACTGCTACAGGTGTATGTACTATTAATTTTGAAGTGACCAATTGTGTGAACCTATAATTATTTTGTAAGTTGCAGACGACAATTTTAGATTGTCAACATCCACTATCGAACACAGCTATCTTTATTGGCCCCAGCGCACGCGCGGAATTGAGTCCCAAGCGACGATAACAACACACGCTAAAAACGCAAAGGCTCATGGGTAGACGATTGTTTGTAAAGAGTGACACGCTATAGCCATCTGACGCATGCGCAGGTGACGACTCCCCCGCTTTAATCAGTATACTAATTTTATCGTGTTTTTTTCTTTGCATTTTCTCTGAAACGCGATATGTATGGGCTTATTTCTATTCGGTTTTCAGGTGGTTTGATTATTGACGAGGACCAGAAACCTATAGTTTTTGAGTAACTTGGCAAATAAGTTAGAAAGGTTGAACAATCTGTGTTTTTTTGTTTTCAAAATTGTTTACAACCAATTACAAGACCGAAGTCGCAAAAGCCTGTCGGGTACAATCTTATCTGAGTTAGAGTTGTACAACGTGTGTATTTCTGGCAACTACTTGATTACATACATATGGCACCGGCGGAGATCAACATCTTATTTTAGAAACGTGTGTTTTTGTTGAAATACATGACAACATTGTCGTTTATTGAAATATAATTGGTGGTTTGGTACATTTTACCTATTTACATCGATACTGTCCAAACAAATTCTGCACAATGAAAATTTGTAATTTCAATATTTATACAGGAGAGTTTTGGTTTTCTATCATTTCTATAGGAGACTGCACGATGAATCGGACCACTTATACCACTATTTCACTAAGCACGGTCAAAAAGAATGCCAACTGTTCAATAAAAGTGAAAAGATACATGAAAGTCACCGTTATTTGACGGAGAAATACGTGTATTCAAGATGGAGAAACAATTACAATCTGTCGTTCCGATATCCTTCGTGGAGCGAAGTTTGAGCCAATGAAGAGAGAAAGTCGGTACGGAACGAACCACATGCAGTTATCCGACGAGCTGACCAATTGCGGTGGGATAATAGCGTAGACGAAAACGAATATTGGGTTAAGAATATCCATTGTCTTTTCACTCACGTTATTCCAACTGTTGCATATGGATAGATTTATGATAAGGATTCGTTCGTTTATCATTGTGCTTTTAAAATTGTACTATTCATGCTTGCCAATAAACGATGTCGTCTATACAACCTACGGCAACAGCGCCCTCCACCAGAAACTCCGAACAATACAACCAACAGCGAAACTGTTGATGTCCTTATTAACGCTTAAAGGGCGGTGGTCGTCGCGTCGCGCATGTGCGACATTTGTGTTGATAAACATTGATTTTCTCTCCATCTAATACGCTCTTCTAATGAAAATCACGAGTACGAGTTTTGATGTGTCTTCAACGTGTACTAATTACCGTTGATGACTTCTTCGATACCTTCTAATCACCAAAGAAATTACATATTTAAATCTTGGTAACGTCTCAGTTGGTACTCGTTGGTCTGCACAGCTGTCAAAATCTTTGTTCATACGAGTCCCATGTCTCGCGCATGCGCGGCGCGATGACCATCGCCCTCATTAAGTTACGGAGAATAAAACACGCCATAACTTTGACCAACATGCCAGTATTGCAAATAGTAATATTTATTTCATTACATCATACTATACGTCATAGAATAATAATATTATTGCCATGACTCACAGTAACACCACTTGCCTAGGGGCATGCCGTAATTTGTTGCTGGAAAAGAAAGGCTAGAATTAGAAAACAAGATCTGAACTCAAAATGGCTGGGTATATAAAATCGGCTCTCCGTCACTAAGTCTGCAGTCTCTGGGAGTGACTAATGGTGGCACTATTCAATTGGAAGAAAGCAATAATAGCACAACAAACTCGAAAAATCCACCATCGCCAGCAAAAATAATGGTCCATCCTTGTGTGTCCAGGTTCAGTTGATAAATTACGGTAATGTCTGTTTACCGTATATGTTTACGGTAACACTTTTTGGTCCAATGGCATGACTCTGATTTTGGTCACGTGTCTGCATTCAATATCCCATAATTCTGTGGTGTGTTTTTCGCGACCTGCAGAGGGACTGTAGAGCAGCCATGGGAACCCCGCGTCACAGCACGCAACGCATGCGAGTACTTGACTGATCGGACTTTTGATATAACGTTCGGGGTATTTCGAGAAAAAATATATGCTTCGAATTTAACTAAAACAGTGAGAACAAATTCTTAGATATTTTGGACAAAAGTTACATTTGCTGCACCCCTTTTCCCCAACGCACACTCCGTATATTTAACTGCTGATGAAACCGTGCGGTTCTAAGCTTCCCCCTTTAAATTCTTTTCTGATTACGTTGATACAAAATACGTAAAATATGGAATCTAAACACGCCAACTTTATAAGCAATAAATAGCCTTCTATGTAATAAATAATATTCTTGTACAGTAAAATGTTTTCGTTCAAGTAAGTTACAGTATTGGGAATTATAGGTAGTGTTTTGAGATATCGGCAATACGACTAAAAAAAAACTTTCAATAGTATATCTGAGCTCTTTAAAAACTGTTATAAACTATAGAATGAAACCACGTTGGGTGTTGGAGTACATTTTGCGGAGTATGTTAAACGCCGCCATTGTGAAATGCGACACTGGGGTTTGAGACATTGGTAACATAATTAACCGAAACTTCATCGAATCCCTTGCATTACGGGCTCCCTAACCTACCTTCATCGAATCCCTTGCATTACGGGCTCCCTAACCTACCTTCATCGAATCCCTTGCATTAGGGCTCCCTAACCTACCTTCAAACCCCGATCTTTCCTGAACTGTTATTTCTAAAGTAATACACTGTCACTTAATTAAAATGGCGATCATTTGTCGAGATTGCCAAGCAGCACGCCATTTCTTATCGCTCCCATATGCTGATTGCCGACATCTCTAAAACACCGCAGAGAACTAAACTTATTGTGGACTTTAACAGTATTGTTCAATCCTAAAATATTACTGCGATCTAAAAAAAGTAACGCAGATCTCAATGTTACGAAATCAAGATTTGTGTTATAGACAATTTAGAATCGCATAAACCGCATTTAAGACCATCGTTTGTTATAAATTTGTTTGACCTTGTAACGGAAAATGCTAATCAAAGTTGCTCCGGTGTACACTCGGGCTGTCTCACGGAAATGTCAACCGTGCCTAGTCTTCGACAACTTTGTGACTATTTTTATATTTCAGCATATGTGACCATGACAACTTTTCAGTGTGGAAGTTGCATCCCAATTCACTAGAAGGAATATTTCACACGTGATACAACACTTTGGCGGCCCATCACGTGACCGTTGTCCAAAATCATGATGTTCTCGCGGGAGTTACACACGTGCATGTGTACTTGTTTGGGATGAAATGTCCATGCAGTTAAAGTTCCGGTAATCGTGATAACATTCAAGTAAGAAACTTTGGTTTATTGAATTCCATTAAGTTCGTAAGTGGTATTTCGGGACTGTGGAATGTTATATTGTATTTAGTCAACGCCCAGCGAATAAATACGTATTTCTCGGACATAAACCGGTGTCCGTGCGCTTTGGCATTTTCGTGTTCCCTGTACTGAGCGCATTCTTTAAAACCATTTGGGCTGAAATAGTGATACGGTACATCCGGTTTTGTGGGTGATCTGAAAAAAAACACAATATGATCAGTGAACAGACCAGGGTCAAATGTGCTTGTCAACTTAAAGCAGGAGGGTCCTCACCTGCGCACGCGCGGGAATTGAGTCCCAAGCGACGATAACAACATACGCTAAAAACGCAACGGTTCATGGGCAGACGCTTGTTTGTAAACCATGACACGCTATGGCCATTTGACGCACGCGCAGGTGACGACTCCCCCGCTTTAAGGTAAAGGCCCGCAAAACATGCGTTCAATGACGTCACAGCAAGAAACTAACCATATAGGAAAGTATTTTTAGATTGATAAACGGAACCTCCCATGATAGCCAGGTTTACAGGATTATTGCACAAAACGACATGGAATTGGGGCGAGATAAACCCGCAGAACTGTGCCGTCAAAAAGTAAAACCTTTGAAGTCAAGATTCAAGAAAATAATTGAAAATAATAACCGTAGTGATAGGGTACGAATATGTTCAAACACGGATCTAACTACAGAGGGGTGCTACACAGGCCGAATATAAAATTACACCGGCGTTTTTAATGTCGTGTGATCGCAAACGAAATACACCGTTATAGAGCCAATGCGAACACTGGTGTTCTCACTGGGCCCACAACGGCGTATTTCTAATCTGTGTGAACCAGGTATAAAATAATTCTTTTAGTGGTCTGAATTAGAACACAAGAAGTTATCTGTATAAAGCATCTCAAGCACAAGTCTGAGAAGGCATTCTAAATGGACACTCTACTATTCAAGTATTACAGACAGGTTTGCATAGAACAAAAAAGTTATCAAATGACGTCACCGGAATATCTCTCGTTGACAAGAGCGCCTGAAAGAATCATGATACTTGTTTGTACACTAATCTATGTAACCTTGTAATTCTAACTCGGGGAAAGTATTAATTAATATTTTCGTGATTTGATTGTGGAAATTGTTTAATGTATCAACAGTAAACATAAAATTTGTGAGATTTTTTTAGGCGTTTATAGATGCTTTCGAATAATCGTTAGCCGTTACGCCAGTCGGGTCCGAAGAAGTGTCCTCCATTCGCGCAATTCGTGTTTGCTCCAGGGCCTTCGCCTTACATTGACCCTGTGTATTTGGCGACTGAATGTTAGTTTCAGTCGGTTCTGGGCATAGAAATACTGATATTTCTCGTAAAGACATTGTTGTGCACTTCAAAAACATTGTTGCCAGTCGTACATAATCCATGTACAAGTAAAATCGCCAAATTTACGAGTTTTCAACAAAGTCGTTATTGAATGACCCCGTAGACATGTGGTTACACCGTCACATTTCTGCATTATTGATCGTGCTGGTGGTAATACTTACTGACAATATCCAGGACTAACCATGCCATATATGGAAATCGAATCGCAGATATTTCTAAGTAGAATCATTGTAAACCAACCAGTAGTCAACCATGAACCGGATGTGATTCTGAAAAAAAAGGTCAACAATGAATATGAGTAAAACAAAAAAATATAATAAAACTTGCAACAAAACATACAGTATGGCCTTTCCAGCCCAGGTTAATTTAATTCACGACTTTCTGCAATGGAAGTATTACAATACAACTAAGCGTACCTATACGTGGGTAAAACGAAATGTATTTCACTTTCAGCCTCATCAACATAGTCTGTTTTAGCTTTAATTATCGGCGTTCTTCTCCTCCTTTATTTCTTTTTCAAATATCTTAGATTAAAATTGTGGTAGTAATTTTCTTAGTTTTAAGTTTTTAATGTTTTTAATGTTTTTAATTTTAATTTTCAAAATAAAATTTGTATTTTGAACGTTATGCTACATTTTGTTATAGGGCATATTTTAAAGAAAGGTAGTCGTCGCGCCACGCATGCACGAGGTATATGGGGGGTTATATAAACAAAGATGGCGACTTTGACTGTTGCGCAGACCAACGAGTACAAACTGAGACGTTACCAAACTTTAATTAGGTATTTTTCAGGTGATTGGAAAGTATCAAAGGAGTCACCGGCGGTAATTAGTGCAAGTCGCGCCCAGGTCAAACCCTTATACTTGTGATTTCCACCAGAAGAGCGCATTGGATTGTGGGAAAATCAATGTTTATCGACGTAAATGTCGTACATGCGCAGCGCGACGACTGCCGCCCTTTAATATATGCGTTATCGCGTCTGTTGATTTTGGTTTTATTGTAATGTCACCCAACCCCTGTTATGTTGGTGTCACTTTAGTTTTACCAGGTTTACAGAGGAGACATATATGCCTAATACTACAATTGAACTTCCCAGAGACGACCATGTAAACACTTTAAAAAAACGCTGATTCAGAAATTACTAGTAGGCAAATTTCTATAAACTCTGGCTTTAAAATGCGAAATTTCTAAAGTGCGCTCTCATCCGTCGAGATGTGCGAAATCGTTCCCATATTATCGAATTGACAGCACACTACCCAGAAAAGCTCGTGCGTAATTAAAATTATGGGATAATAAGGTAATTAACAATTCATACTTTTATTTAACAGGAGAGACCCCTAAATTATGAGGACTATACTCGCCTGTCTTTGCCGGTCTCCTCCCGGAAAACGTACTCTGCATATTGATACTGATCATTAGTAAGCACAATGAAATTAATATAAGGATATTTCATCGAAAGCGCGGATATTTCATTATAAACAACTCCACTGCCACCGGAGTCCATTTCCTTTGGCGGACCCCAAAATATAATGTACTGCGGCCTTCCAATGACGTCATCCATCAGCATAGGATCTCTCATTAACGACGGTAAGGAGGAGTGTGCCGTGAATCGAATGGTTGTCTTGGATCCTACATCCGACTCGAACCCTTTCGTCGGGGCTTGATTCATACGTACAACGCAGGGTATATTGTCGATGTCTTCACCGGAACCAGAGTTGAGTAGCTGACCGGAAGCCGAAATTAAGGCACATTGGGAGCAGTGGAGGTCCAGAGCCTGTAGATGGGAACCAGAATACGCTGTTATTTGAGTAGAGCAATGACGTAGTATAAGCAACATATTTGTGACTGGGTGAATGCACTGAAACAAACAGACAACATGGAAATTGTTTGAATATGTAGGTTGTTATTTAAAATTTAACGTATCTCTCAAAACACAAAGACGGTCGACAAAATCATCAACGCTGTCACAAAACTGCCTTCCTTTGACCAATTTCAAGGGCGCAAAAGTAGTTCATCGCTAGAGGGCGTAGCCTAGCGAATTGGACTTCTGACGGTGCCAAGAACATCGTCATGGAATCTTCCCTATCGTTGACTGCGCCACCTATCTCTAGTTAAGACTCACTAACAATCTTGCCAGGTGACATATTTAAATTGTATAGATATGATCAACGCGTTACGTAGGTTGTTATATTTTTCGTTTCTCGTGGATATGATCAAAAGTTGGCTGAATATGGCACACATCAGATTGTAAAAGTTCTGCTCTAACTTCCTGAGGTCTTAGGGAAAAAAATGGTCGGAGTGGCTGTCAAATCTCGGTTTATCGGTTCCACATAGCTTGTGTTAATTTGATACACAAGTATTCCCGTTCTGTCGAAAACCTTGGTCCGTTCAACTTCCGCATTCAAAAATGGGTTCAAGGTGTGCGAATTTTCTAAAACTTCAGGCCCAAAAAGTATAGCTCGTAACTGAATTGAGCAATGACTTGGGTTTTCACCACGAATCTTGTTTATGGGATTATCCACCCATACAATCATTTCTGATCTCTTCACTTTTTTCAGTAATTGTAGATGCGGGATAAATGAACAATAAGTCTTCAGGATTCTTAATTTAATTTAACAATTCTTAATTTACGCATTCTAGAGATTTTACTGCCCGAATGAAAAAACAAACAGACAGCACAGTCTAGTAAAAAAAAAACTTGACCTATTCAACAAACCAGAAAAGTTGCACAAAATCGTTTTGACCTATATTTTTCTAGTGTTTTATTCTACAATTGTTGATGAACATATTGTAATAGCCCTTTAAATTTCATCACAATACTGATTCAAAGTCGCAATAATCAATTTATTTACTTAACGATCACGTGACTAACTGTGAGTTACACCTGATATAAAATTGATTTTTATTTAGGCTTTCATAAAATATATAGCTTGAAATGGTTGTGTACAACTATTCTGTGAATATAATAAGTTTTTTTACTTCCGGGAAAACTCTACTACATCCTCAAGAGGGTCGAATCCAATTACAGACTCGGAAATGAGGGGAGAGCCCAACTCGAGCATACACGTGTATAATAATAATTTTATTGAAAAGTATTTTTTCGACTGCTGAGTATGCAGCCGTCCACAATATCTGATATAGGGTGGATACGCTAATGTTTATGCCACACATTGACTGGATGTGTAAGTGCCTTGTTCGAAATTTGTTTTCTAACTAACACTCAAGTGAAATCAACACCATACACACGATTATTTCCTTTTTCTATACACTATAAGAAAATTCGTTTGTTACCATGGTAACTCGTATTCAAAGATACAAGTATAATCGTCAGATTATATGATTGAACGGAAAGTAATCTAATTTCGACCAATCCTGACAATTCCAGTCGCCAGTGACAAAGACGCCAATGTACACGAGGCATGTGATACTGGATGCACACCACGTCCGTTGTCTATTATCACAGGCGAGCAGATAATTACATTGAGAACCACGTGGTGATATGCGACATCGAGTCTGTTTATTATAACCACGTGGGCACAGTTCTGTCGTGACAGTTGTCAAATATGGTGTAATGTACACAAGTCGTTATTGCTAGGCGTAAATGTTTGCATTGCGTTCATAAAAGGTGGATTGTGAATATTGTAGAATACATCTGCGCAACTAATCAACAATAATAAGACAGCGTTCTTTATATCAGTTTATATCAGTTATCTGCCTATTTTCGTAATAAATCAGTAGTTGAAAATTATACCCGCTCGTTCTCACTGCTACACTATAGATTCGTCAAAGTCGGTCAAATCCCTTCAATTCTTAGTAACTAGGGCAAAATTTAAATCTGAAAGCTACGACGTGTTCGGGTTATGCGCATCGAAACCTCGCTTATTGTGTTTGTTGCCTAAGTTATTATTGTCTGCACAACGAAAAATCCCGTCATGCATTGCTGTTTGAATTTTGCTTCGGGTGCGCTGAACGCAATTAACCAAGGAAGTACGTAATTTTCGAAGTTTGCTCGAACGCAGCGGTAATATGAGTAAATAGTCGTCCTATAAATTGGCTCTTATCCCACTACAACTATTTTGATTTAGAGCACGATCGTATTTTTTCTATCGTATAAAACAGACTTTAGCATTTTTGCAGACGTTTTGGAAAGAGACAATCCTTGATACAAACAATTATAAATCTAGTTACCTTGTCAGAAATCTGACAACCCTCGCGTGGGAATGATATTACACTTCATTACCAGTGCACTAGTGTATAGAGAGTAATAACACGTGTACGGGGTCTGAGCGCTATCATATTTGCCAGATATGACGTCACAGTGATAGCCATATTTCTACTTTATTATATGTTGAGCACGCTGTGCATGTGATTCCCGTGAGTATTTATTACCCATAACCATCACATAATAGATGTACTAAATACTCATGGGCTGCAATGAAATTGATATTAGAATTAATGGCTGTCATCGAATCAAACGATCAAGTAGAAACAGTTGTTCAGCTGCATAAACAAACCCGACGTCTGGGATATACTAGTATTATACGTCATCACGTGACCAATTTTGTTTCACTTTCCGAGCCAAGCGCATGCAGACGAACACGTTTAGACGCGTTCATATTTCTGCTGGGGCAGGATCGGACAATTTGGATACAGAAATTCAGCTCTCTGCATGAAGTTAACGCATCCTCGCCTTCGATGGTGGATGATCTAAGTTTATCTCGATGCGTGTGAATTCCACTGTTAATAGCAGGCTGTGTAAAAATCGTAGTTCAAGTTCAACGACGTGATACCCATGAATTGATTATTTGACCGCTGGTGGCGTACTATAATTAAATAGGAAAGGTCATTGCGGTTTTCAGAAATATCTCTCGGTGTAAACGGTGCAATGTAGTCCTAATTATTTAATTCATTTAAAGCGCGGTAGTCGTCGCGCTGCGCATGTGCGACATTTGAGTTGATAAACATTGATTTGCGCTCTTTTAATGGAAATCACAAGTTTGAGGTTTTACCTGGTCGCCATCTTTGTTTATATGAGACCCATATATCTTGCGCATGCGTGGCGCGATGACTACCGCCCTTTAACGATGAGACCTATTTTTTGGCTATTTCTTTTGTTTCAGATTTCTTAACTTAGTGATAACAGCTCAACACTGAATGATAAAGCTAAAGTACAATGTTTAAATATGCGAACAATATTTTTAAAAAAAAAACAAGATATACATTATTAGATTCTACACTTGCTCTTGTCACATACAATTTATGGAACATGCTCTTCCTGTACTAACTCGGTATTCAAGCATAACATCTAGATTTATCGCGACACGAATATCAGCTAGAAAACTAGAATTCTATTATACCTGCAATGCAATGTTTTTGTAAACCAGTGAGAAATGTAACGCAGGACAAGATATACATCTAATATATCACTCTGCTCCTTTGAGACATCGTGTCTAAGCCATATTTCAAATCAAATAGCAAATATTCTCCGTAGGAGGTATTTGGCTCCTAATGCCTTCCAGGACATGACCGAAATTTTTTACTGATTAATAACGCGAGTTTTAAAAGGTTCAGATAAAAACAAGTTTTTGAATCCATAAAAATATAAACAACGCCAGACATGCGACTATTCCACAATAATAATCTTATATAGAGATGGGTCTACTCAGCTGCTAGCAGTAGCAACATGAAATCCCCAGATAGGATTGGTTTGTGAGCAAGTGTCACGATTTAGTACGATCTCAGTTACTGCCAACCGATTCACTTGGTTGTCATGACGACGAGGTCGTTTCGATATAACGAGATTTGTAAAAAAAAACGCCCCCGGTTGTAGGCATTAAAGGCCATGCAAAGACCAGGAATAAACACAGGGTGAAACAGTCTCGTTCATAAAATTTAAACTAATACAAATAAATTAATTCTAAAACGTCTGTTTTCAGTATGTGCACATATTGTTTACTCCCTCGGTGTATCACAATTCAATACAAGCATATGGCCATTTAATATTTCCTATATGTTTTTATTTTTAAATATTATGTGTATTTTGTTTGTACCATATGATTTCAGCTTGGGCAATATAAAAGCAATTATGGGCCCCTTTCTGTACACGCCAAAGGTGATTTTGTTTGAACATTCCGTTTATTGCTACAATATGATTATTGGTGTGTATTTTTAATATATTTATACTTTGTGGGTTTGAGCATGGTATCAGCCACCATACCACGTGATTGCATGGACACGTGGCAACCGATATGAACTGTACTCTTTAAATTTATTCACTGAGTCTCTGGGGTGTTAATTTGGCTACGGTATCCACATTATCACTATCATAATGACATGGAATACAGATATCCCATATCAGGCGCCCAATCCTTCTGTCAATCAGCTCTTAGATCATACATTGAGCTTGTAAAACCATTCCAGTAAAATACTGGCGATAATACCATAAACCAGCTCCCGTCGCCAAGATGCTCTTGCTGAATTTATCCTTAATTCTTGAAGCATAACAGTCTCGTGTCGCATTTTCCCGGAGATTGTCCCTGTGTGTTTAGTATGGCTTGAAAGATGCCAGGCTTGTAATTTACAGTTATTTTCTGTGACAAAGGTCGCCTCATCTCCCGACCAGGACTTGGAAAGCAATCCAGGATTTGGGCAGGCCCTAAGTAAGTTATCATGTAAACCTCTCGTCGCGAGATTTCCCCCAGGATTAGAAGCAATTTAATTAACACTACAAATAGTGAGCGCTACATAACATGTACTACAAGATTCTTTGGCAAT